AGGCCGTCCCGGTCTCCTCGGGCGGTGCGTGGCGGCGGCGTGGAGCGGCTCCCGGTAAGTCTGGCGGCGGCTCTGCGGAGCGGTTGGCACCGGGAGGGGCACCGTGGAGCGCCGGGCTCCGAGAGTGTATCCGGATGGGCTCTCCCCGGTGCGGGGGCGGCGCGGATCCCCGCCGGCTTCCGAGCCCTCCCCGGGGGCGAGCGGCCGGGACGGCGTTCCCGTCCTCGCCCGGCAGCACCGGGGCTCGGTGGGCGCTAAGAAACAAGGGCGAGGGGGAAACGCCGAGACCCGTCCCCGCGGGTCCCCTCCCCGGGGCTGGGTGGTGCGTTCTTGTCCCCGCACGACCGCGGGTGTGGGAGCTCTGTGAGCGCCGGTGGAAGGTGTCGGTGGTGGGCAGCTCTCATTCATCAACGGCTTGTCTTCCTCTGACCGCACAGGGCCTGGGTTCCGCGCCGGAGGCTGCCATGTACCCCAGGATTAAAAACCTGGCGCTTTACGCCTTCTCAGTCACGCTGCTGGCGTGGGTTTTTTACATGAGGAAAGAGGCAAAGTTGGCAGCGTCGTCCGCGGAGCAGAAAGTGGATGTAGCGAGTCACAAACTGAAATCTCTGGTTCCGGACAATGTTGAGCCCAGCAAGTGTTTGCCAAACTTGACCCTTGCCAATTCTTCTCTCACCCTCCCGGAGCTTCACCGCGTCTTCTTAACATACAAGCACTGCCGGAACTTCTCGGTCCTGCTGAAGCCTTCCAGGTGTAGCAAAGAGACGTTCCTCTTGCTGGCGATCAAGTCTTCCCCGATCAACATAGACCGGCGGGTGGCAATCAGGAACACCTGGGGGAAGGAGGTCTCCATTGGTGGCAAGCACATCAGGCTGGTATTCCTTTTAGGGCGCTCAGAGGCCAAAATCCAGGTGCAGTCCCTGCACCAGCTGCTGGCTTATGAGAGCCAGGAGTTTGGTGACATCTTGCAGTGGGATTTTGTTGACAACTTCTTCAACTTGACTCTCAAGGAGCTGCATTTCCTCCGCTGGTTCGTGGAGGACTGCCTGCACGCCAGGTTTGTGCTGAAGGGTGACGATGATGTCTTTGTCAACACTTACAACATCGTTGAGTTCCTCCAAGAACTGGACCCTGCACAGGATCTCTTTGTTGGGGATGTGATCACCAACGCCCGGCCCATCAGGAACACCAAGGTCAAATACTTTATTCCAGAGTCCATGTACAAAGCCTCCTTCTATCCTCTCTATGCAGGTGGAGGGGGTTATGTGATGTCTAGAGAGACAGTGCGCCGCCTCCAGAGCACCGCAGAGGACATGGAGCTCTTCCCAATAGATGATGTCTTTGTGGGAATGTGTCTGGCACAGATGGCAGTGACCCCAAAGAACCACGCTGGCTTTAAGACTTTTGGGATCCAGAGACCTTTCAATCCTTTTGATCCATGCTTGTACAAAGAGCTGATGGTTGTGCACAAATTAAACCCAACCGAGATGTGGATCATGTGGACGCTGGTAAAGGATGACAGCATTAGGTGTGCAGTGTCAGTAACACACAACTTCAGCAGGGGTTGGAAAAGAAGCTACAGATAAGCACAGCGGGATTGTGACTGGTGACAAATCCAGGGTACTTAAACTAAAAATCAGGTTGTGGTAGAAACGTGTCCTCTACTAACGGACTGTACTTGAGCCACAGGGGGCTGTTTTGCAGCAAGTCTTTTTCTATCGGTGGGTCACCGAAGCGATTGAATTGTCACGGGGTGTGGATGGGGCTGGTGGCTCCGTGAGACCTGGCACAGGGGACTTGGCTTGGTTCCTCCCAGCTGGACTGGAGCCAGAGGAAGTCACGGCTGCCACAGGGACGTGAGTGAGGTGCCACCTCCTATGGAGGCTCCGAAACACCAAGGCTGGTGTCTGACTGCTGGCCAAACTGATGACTGATGTGTGCCAGAACACTTGAAATTACTTGAAAAGGTGGAAGAAAGGCCAGTGAGTGCTGCTGGGTCCACTGCAGTGCAACTCTGCTGTCCCTGTCCACAGGTCCTACTGGGCAGGAGGAGAAAGGGAGGGAAGAGGAGTGGGGGGAAAAAAAAAAAATCCTCAAAAATGTATTGCTGTAACAAGGGGACTGGGCTCTGACTGAAGCCCTTTGGATTTGACAGAAGTTTATTACAGGTTTACTTGCACTGGCAGCTTTTGCACAAACACTTTTTGATTGGGTTTGAGAGGAGCAATAAGTCTGGAATAATCACGGTGGTAGATGAAGTGGTGGTAGCTTTTCATGTTGCTGCACTGGCAGCTTTTGCACAAACACTTTTTGATTGGGTTTGAGAGGAGCAATAAGTCTGGAATAATCACGGTGGTAGATGAAGTGGTGGTAGCTCTTCACATTGTGTGGGAGGTGTTTGGGTTTTGTTGTTGTTGTAGTGTTGGGTATAAATAAAATACAGTTGTGAAAAGGGTTTCACAGCGGTGTTCTTGGGTCTCCTGAAAGCGAAGAGAACCAAAAGCCGGAGAAGGCTGAGAGCTGGTGCTGGGTGTTTGCATTGAGTCATTGATATTAAAGAGGATAAGGTTTTGTGGAAATGGAAACTTGCCACTTCCTTTGCTGTGAGCAGCTGCCTTTTTCTGTCCCTGTCCAGACAAGATGCAGTGATACAGAAGTGACTAATCAATGAGTGCACTGGAGTCGCTAATTTGAAGAAATACCAAATATGAAACTAAGCTTGGGTGATACTTTAATGAAGTTTATCAGCTTCAGGGTGCCTCGCTGCTCGCCCAGGAGCTGCTGTGCTGTGTGTGAGCAGGAAGCAGCCTGGAAGGAGGCAGAGGGTAGAGAGGAAGTGTGTGATTACAGAAATCAGAGCAATTAGTGTCATTGCTGTCTCTGGCTTTGTAAACAAGGCTGAGTAGCAGCAGCAAGACCTAGTTTGTGGGCGCTGCTGCTTGTTGCAGAGAAGAGGCTGGGCAGAGCGGGCGCCGTGGTACCCTGTGAACTGCTGTGGCAGCATTTTTCTGATCCACTAGATGATTCCAAATGCAAACTCAGTAACATAACGTAGAGCAGGATGTCATGTCTGTTGTGGGCTTGGGTCTATGGGCTAAGCCCTGATTGGCATCTCCCATATGGCACTTCCTCATAAAGGTGTGGGACTATTTCTGCCCCGCTTTGGGGACAATATGGAGCCACTTGTGCTCCTCACTCCCATTTTGACTTGACTCAACCGACAAGTTGTCACGTCTGAAGGTTGGATGTGTGTGGGTACAGCCTGTGTCTTGGGGAGAGCAGGGCGTTCGGTGAAACAAGAAGTGTGGGGCAACAAGGGGGCTGGGGGCAGGCTCTGCAGGGGGAGGAAAGGGCTGCTTTGCAGTCTCCTGTCTTAGGCCGTATCTCTGCCACGACAGGATCCGAGTGGAGTTACTGTGGCATCCTGAAAGGAGCACAATCTGGATGTGCATTTGGGTCAGTGGTCTGGCAGATGTTCTTAAACCCCTGTGTCTTGGTTTAGGCTGGGCTGGCCACTAAACAAACGACCCAACGTGGACTATAAACATCAGACATCACCTGCGAGGAGCAGACACTGTCTGAAAGAACATGCCATTAATTTCAGACAGTACCATTACTTAGAAGAGACTTAACTTTTGAGAAGTAAAATCACTGAAAAGACACCTGGTTCTGTTCTGTCTCAGACCAGGACACTGCAGTGTGTAACAAAACAGAGCAGTTGTGGTTAGAGCCTGACCTGAAGCTGCATTTGGCTCTTGAGGGCGTGGTTGTGTCACCGCTGCAAATAATCCTCTCGTGATAGGGGTTTTTTCCCAGTGCTCCAGCTTGAAGCTGTGTTTGGGACCACCTTGGCACAGCAGGCACTGCCATCTTCCTGTGAGCTTGAATTCCAGGCTCTGCCATCCTCCTTGGACACAGCAGCACCCGTGAGGAGCAGGAGGAAGGACAGGTGGTTTGTTAATTCCTTTACTGTTGAATCTATAAATGTACCTGGTGTGCAGCTGAGTTAGCATTTGCAAAAGGCAAGCAAAATGAGATGCAGATAGAAAGGCTTATGCTACAGCTGGAAAAATTCCTCATGAAGCCCAACTCAATTGAGTAACAGCAACCTCGAGGCAGATGTAGTGCATCATATGCTAATCTGTGGTGAAAAACCTATGATCAATACGTGTTTTCTTAAAAAAAAACTGATGAATGGGGATTAACTGACTCAAATCAGTACTGCTCAAGTTCTAGTGGATGCTGTTCTACAAAGCAATCTCATCTTCAGATCGTCTATACAGTTAATATCGCAAATTTCACATTAAGCTGTTAAGTTAGGAAGTGAACACAGTGAAAGACACCTGTGGTTTTGCACCCTGCAGGGAAACATCAAGCTTGCAAAAAAGAGAGAATTATTTTCCTGAAAACTTGTGCTGAAAAGCATTCAAATATGTAAAACTCACGTTTGCTCACTGCTTTGTAAAGAAGTACAGAGCAGTTGCCACAACTTTGTTTATAACCACAGTATCTTGAAAATCAAATCTCCCTTTGCTTCCTGGGGAAGGCAGATGTATTTATTGCAAGTGGTGACTCTTGGGTGAAAGAGGTTGCTTTACTGAACTGCAAAACTTCACTAAGAAGAGCCTGGGTAACTCCTTAGGAAGTTTTCAGCTCTACAGCAAGTGTTTCCCCTGATTGCAATTAAGTGTAATTTGACACAGCTGTCACTCAGCTCAATTACAAACTTTCAAATTCAAAAAGAAAACAGCATTTAATCTCTTATCCAAAGGGGCAACACGATGCTTTTGCACAGTTTAATAAAGGTATCTCCTAACAGACATAATTTACTTCACACGTTAAAAATAATGACTTTTAAATACACTTCTTTGGCTGATACTGGGTGAGCTTCTAAGTTAAGAGCGCTCTCACAAACATATCAAACGAGTGGTAGGACCCTCCCAGCAGAGAGACAACTAACAACGAGCTATCCTTGATAGCAATTTTCACATTTGCATAGTTCAACACTTAAATAATTGAATCCATAAGTATTACAAACGTGGTAATTTACAAACAAGATCAAGGCCTTTCGGATACTTGGAATTGACTTGATTTGTAATGCAATCCTGTTTGGGGAAAAAATGGAATCATAGGCTAATTTCAGCAGTTTACCACTACCCCACACTTGAAAGTTTGGGACCCTTCCATTTCCAATTGACTGTCACATATTCTGTGGTGACACTTAAGTTCTTTTCAGTCCTCCCGAAGGTAAGGGTCATCAGCTGCCTCTGTGCTTCCTAAAATACCCTGTGGCAATGAGGATTCCTCTCCTTGAGCTTTTATGAGCTCTTCTGTCTGAGCTTCAGCTAACTTGGTCTCTGCTTTCTGGGACAGCTGTCGCACTTCTTGCACCTGTGATTTCACCAGCTGAATGTGGCTGCGGGCTGTCACCGAGGCTTGGTCTGCACCTGAAAAGTAATCATTTAAACACACTAGGTTAGAGGGACACTCGACAAGCCTTCAATTAAGGAAGTGACTGTCTATAATTATCACCTGCTTTGCTTAGTGTTTTGATGGCTCTTGGGCTATATTAATGCTAAACACATTTACTGTTCGCTTACCTTAAGCAACAATACGCCTGCTTCGAGATTTTTTATTTGTCCCCTTGAATTCTTCCCACCCAAGTGGGTTATAGCACGTGTCTGATCAGAGGGATCAGCCTGTGCTGGTGGGTTTCAGAACTAAGCCCAGCCCAGTCACTGTGTGCCAGGAGCTTTCAGTCCCTGTCCTCTCCTGGCACCTACCAGCAGCAGGAATGTCTGTGGTGCTGTGGAATCCCTTCTCCTCCCACATTCCTAGAGATTCTGCGTCTTTTTCAGGCACATATAGAGTGTGTCTCTCTATATTCATCACTTTCCTCCTCTTCTCTACTCCAGTAACTTTGCCAGCTTACCATCAGTGAGCCCATAACTCAATCTCAGAGCTATCAAGTCTCTACATTTTTTATGAAAGTGTGTATACTGGGAGGAAAGACCAAAATTAGTATCTTTCCTGAGTGCAAGGCAAATATTCTCATTCTTTAACAAAAGTGAATCCAGCTAGAAAGGCCTGCTGGACTCCCTGGGTGGACTTATTTGTGTAGCTCCCAGAACTGGAGGTTGTAGAGAGATGGGTGTTGGTCTTTTCTCCAAAGTAAGAAGTGATAGAACCAGCCCTGTCCTCTCCTGGCACCTACCAGCAGCAGGAATGTCTGTGGTGCTGTGGAATCCCTTCTCCTCCCACATTCCTAGAGATTCTGCGTCTTTTTCAGGCACATATAGAGTGTGTCTCTCTATATTCATCACTTTCCTCCTCTTCTCTACTCCAGTAACTTTGCCAGCTTACCATCAGTGAGCCCATAACTCAATCTCAGAGCTATCAAGTCTCTACATTTTTTATGAAAGTGTGTATACTGGGAGGAAAGACCAAAATTAGTATCTTTCCTGAGTGCAAGGCAAATATTCTCATTCTTTAACAAAAGTGAATCCAGCTAGAAAGGCCTGCTGGACTCCCTGGGTGGACTTATTTGTGTAGCTCCCAGAACTGGAGGTTGTAGAGAGATGGGTGTTGGTCTTTTCTCCAAAGTAAGAAGTGATAGAACCAGAATGACCTTATGTTGCACCAGGGGAGGTTTAGATTGGATATTAGGAAAAATTGCTTCATCAAAAGGGTTATCAAGCATTGGAACGTGCTGCCCAGGGAAGCGGTGGAGTCACCATCCCTGGAGGTATTTAAAAGATGTGTAGATGTGGCATTGAGGGATGTGGTCTAGTGATGGACTTGGCAGTGCTGGGTGGTATTTAAAAGATGTGTAGATGTGGCACTGAGGGACGTGGTCTAGTGATGGACTTGGCAGTGCCAGGTTAACAGCTGGACTTGATCTTAAAGGTCTTTCCAACCTAAATGATTCTATGAACACAGCATTTAAAAATGACTAGACACTTCCCTCAAACTTTTTTTAGTTTGATCTTGATCTAAACCACATGTGAAGTTTCCAGGCCTAGTTCTCACAACAGTTCTAGACCACTAGCCAATAACAGAATATAAGTTCTTAGCACCTCTAAAAACCAGGCACCAGTGGTAAACTGAATGTATATTCTGTCTCTCTCTCAACTCTATTCTTGTTCAATAAATACTGCCTAAATGCTCAGGGAAGGAAATTCTCAGTATTTCTGCTTACCTGATTGATATGCAGCTTCTGCTGCCATCTCTGAAAGACGTAACGCTGTCATCCAGCTGGATTCCAGCCTTAGGTATTCCTGCTGTTTTGTTGTCATCTAGGAGTAAAACAAAGTATTACTTCACTAGATGTGACAGTATCTGAATGCTCTTCCAAACAGTGCCTTTGTGAAAAGGTGAGGAAGTGAGATAAGAGCTTTCTGAGCAGAGTTTTAAGAGGCAGACTGCTGACTAAAGGGAGACAAGTGCTTACATCAACTCTGGCTCCAATCACCACCTGCCAGACTGCATCCACCTCTTCCGAGTTCATTTTCCCAAGAAGATTGGCGTATTGCTTGTAGAGAGACACCAGTGTATAAACTGCCTGCAAAGGAATCATTTCACACAATTACGTGACAATCTGTACATCTCTGACGTTGTCTCAGTGTTAACTGGTGTTAATTAGCAAAACTGCTGAATGGTTCCAAAGCTGCTTTGTTCTCCAGTTCACTGCAATTTTGGAGGCACTGACAGCATCTGCTGTCTGCCTGCAGCAGTGCTGTGCACAGCATCTCTTCATAGACTTGCCGTACTAATAAGGAAGTAAACTGGAATGCAATTACTCAAATTGGCAGTTATTTATAAAATTAAAACTGTGTCTTGTTTCAGACTTAAATATTGCTCCATTCTTCTGATGAAACTCAAGTTTGTGGCCTTAGAAATGGGCACAGGTCAAATTGGCAGTTATTTATAAAATTAAAACCGTGTCTTGTTTCAGACTTAAATATGGCTCACTCCATTCTTCTGATTAAACTCGTTTGTGGCCTTAGAAATGGGCACAGAAGGTAAATAAAATCCCTAAGAATACAAGGTAGTGTATCCTACTTACTCAGTACGCAGGTATCCAATAACTGTTACAACTTTCTTTAGCCCCAGTTCTGAAACATGGGTCATTTCAGCTGAAGTTCAAGCTCAAAGCAACAGTCTCACAAAGCTAAAAACAACTTGGTGTAGTAGAGCAGTGAGGCCTACCCCACTGCTTCCTTCAACCCCCACACCTCCTTTATTAAAATCCATAAAAAAAACAAAGTCCATTTGAATGTGGTTTAACAGGGCTAGTTAGCACCAAATATTTATTATCTCCAGTATTGACTTGCCAGCAGAGTGTGTAGTCTCTCAGCTTACCTTTGTGTACTCTGTCAATGCTTCAATCAATGCATATGTTGTTTGAGAGAGGAGCGTAGAAGTACTGTCTGTTACCAAGGAAACTGCTCTTTTAATCAGGGCATCGTTACTGAGAGAAACCGAGTTCTGCTTCTGAAAGACAAGACATTTGCATGATCTTTCCACTGACTTTGTTCTTAGTGAGGAAAAGCACCCTGGTTAGGGGTGGACAGCCTAATTCTAACTCCTGTTTTGCCATTGTAAAAAAGGGCAACTGTATTTCCAAGGTGTTAATGAAGGCAGCTGTTGTCTTTCTTATCTCTCTTCCTTAACAACTACACGGCTTAACCACCTGTGATCCCCAGGGAGGAGTACAGTTCTGAGGGTAAGTACTAGTTTGTCAAATGCTAAGCAAGCGTGTTTGAATATTAAACTCTTTCTAACGAGGGGGTGCTGTCTGTGCCTCACTCCCCACACCTTACCTCCACGACTGGGACTGCACACAAGGCCACTCCCAGCCCCACGCCCACCATTTGGTGCCATCGTCCGTTGCCGCCCGAGAGGCAGCGTCTCCTCAGGTGGGCCAGAACAGGGAAGCTTTGTCTGGAAATGCAAGGAACAAAGTTCAGCGCAAGGAATAACCAGCATCAATGGATACCAAAGAGGAAAAGAACACCTAGAAGCTGTCGCAGGTGACCCAGTCTCTACCAAGCTTCTGTACTGCAGCTGCGTAACAGTGTAAGTTTGGTTTAAATTCTGTTATATTAATTAAGTGCAAGGAGACAAGCACGGTAATTAGTGTATTATTAATCCTCTGGGAGAGGAAATGTATCTTATCTGGTACCAACACACTGCTAATATTCAATAATATTGAAAAAGAAATTTAAAAAGCATGCTTAGAAGCGGTATATGGTACATGCAGGTGAGCAGTATGAGAGGTAATAGTTTGCTGCAATCCAGTGACACTTAGGGCCTCTGGTTGTGTTATTTTCATCCAACGCTGTCTGAGTGTCTGTGGGGTCAAGCCCCTGTCACTGTGATACTCCAGCACAAACACAGAAGCACTCAGCCATGAGAATTCATTTGTTGTACAGCATTTTTTCTGAAAATAACTGCTCAGTTTTCTGCTTCTTTTATGCTATGTACGCTAATGCCACAGACACCAGTAGCTAGCGCTGTGTGGGTAGTGCAGCTCCTGCTGCCTGTGCTCCTCCAGCCCTGCTCTGGCAGCTGGAGGCAGGAGAGGGGCCTCACGGCCACTCCTGTGGCACAGGCCGCCGCACACGCCGCGATGATACCGGGCAAACCAAGCGGTCACGGCGGGCAGCGGCAGGAAGCCCAGCCCAGGGGCTGAGTTCCGCCCAGGCAAACCGCCGACTGAGCTCCGCTGAAACGCCCCCGCCCCGCCGCGGTACCTGAGGAGGGAGCAGCAGCCCCGGAGCCACCGGCTGCCCGCAGCCATCTTGGGCCTGGCCGCTGGCGGGTGGGTGAGGGCGGGAGCGGCGCGAGCCTGAGGCGGCGGTGGAGGGGCCATTGTCCGTCCCCTCACGACGCGGGGTGAGGCCGCCCCGGAGTGCCCCAGCGACGGCTCGGCCCTCCAGGTAACGGCGCTGGTCTGGGGACACGCCATCCCCGGCCTTTGAAGCAGAAATGGCGTTAGGAGCGTTCAGCTCCGGCCGCGCTTGGCCCATTCCCCGGTGTTACCCTGCTCACAGACAGCCCGGCTCGGTAGAAAACAGCCCTCAGCTGGGGGCCAGGTCACCAGAAGTGTTGGCTGAGATCTCCCTGACTGGCTGCCACAGGCTCGGCTCCGTTCCCCCTCCCGGGTTCACTTCACCTTTGTTTTTCAAGAATATATGATGCTTCTTTGGTTCAGTAGTTCCAAACTACTGATAATCCCCAGCTTCTCCAGCAACAGTTTCCTGTGTGGTTCTACCTGAAGGGCCTTGATCAGTTAAATCTATTCTTTTTGTATATACTGGGAATTCTCATCTCTTCTCTGTGAGACTCAAGGGGCACAAGCTGGAACATGGGAAGTTCCATTCAAATATGAGGAGGAACTTTATGGTGAGAAGAGCCCTGGAACAGGCTGCCCAGGGAGGGTGTGGAGTCCCCTTCTCTGGAGATTTTCAAGCCCTGCCTGGATGCAGTCCTGAGTGATGTGCTCTGGGCAGCCCTGCTTTAGCAGGGGAGTTGGACTGGATGATCTCTAGAGGTCCCTTCCAACTCTGGCAATTCCGTGATTCCATGATACTCAGCACAGTTTAGTTTTAGCCAGGCAGTGCTGGATCTCAGGCACATCTTTCAGCTAACTCCGTGTGTAAAGAATTTGTTGAAAAGCCTTGCACACTTGAGAGCTCCAAATAATAGGCCTGTAGGTAATGTGTTGGTGTCCCCACCCCGTGAAATTTGTCTTATAAAACTGTAGGAAGAGGGAAACCTTGTGCTGATTTGAAATGTCTTCCCAGGACTTCTAAAAAAAAATTAAAATATTACAAGTAATTTCTGTATTTCTGCCTTCACACCCTTAATGAGGCAGAGTTAGACAAGGCAGGACTTGTTTACTTGAGATGTCAGTCATCTTTGAATGGTGCTGCATCCCTCCCATCCTGCTGTAAGAGACTGCCGTGCTCTCCAGGCGGGGAGGGAATCTCAGGAGAAAACTACCGGGAGGCTTTTAAATATTTTGGGGAACGGGGGCAAATGTCTAGGAAACACAAAGGATCTGCAGGACACACAAAAAGATCAGTAAAATGCCTACATGTAGATACTTGGTTTGTTTTTTTTTTAACCTTTATTATTTTTACATAAGAAAATAAGATTATGATGAGGCAGTAACGAAACCAAACGCTTGCAGAGTCGGGGCAGGAGGAAGGGACCGAGCAGCACGGAGGAGTCCGGCGCCTCTGCCCAGCCTGTGGCTGCAGGAGCAGAAGAAGTGCTCTCATTTAAGCACCAAGAAGTAGGTGGTCCAGCCGGCCAGCAGCAGCGCCCCGACCAGCACGGTGTAACTGAAGAGCACAAAAGCCAGCAGCTCCTTCAGCACCTTGAGGAAGTGGATGGTGAAGGACTCCGGCATGGTTCTCCCCGGCACGGTGGCAGGTAGGGTCTCTGGGGCTGGCTGCTGCTGTCCTCCTCCCCGGGCTGCAAGCAAAGGGACAGGGTGAGTCTTTCCGAGCAAGGAGACTGCAGAGCCCACGGGGTGGCTCTGTTTTGGGGAGAAGTGGCTCAGTTCAGGAGGGTTAATGGCCACCTGTCCTTCTAAAAATGTTGTTAGCGTCAGGTTGGACTTCTGTGTGCTTGTTCAGGGTCCTGTACAGGGGTGCCGAGCTGTGCAGTGTTGAAAAAGAGTTCGAGCTGTGATCAAAGTCTCCAAATCAGGACTGGTAATTAAGCAAAATTGGAGACTGCTGTGTAGGTAATGGCCAGAGGCCCTGACAGGGTCCAGCCGGCTCCTGGTACCTTTCCCCCTGTGTCAGTGGCTGTGCATCCAGGAAGCTTCATGTTCAGAGCGGTCGCTGATGGTGCATTACCAACAGTGTGTTCCGATCAAAGTGGTCAATTCCTCCAAGCAAGCCACCATTAATATTTAATGATATAATTGCATCTAATGGAGATACTGGCACAAACTGAGCCTTTTGTTTAAGAATGATGAAAACTGGGGCTTAAATATAAGTTTGCACAGGCAAATATTTATATCTGATGTTAAAAATAACCTTTAAATGGGAAATACGGGATAAGATGCTTTCGAATTCATCTTCCAGCTGTATTTTAAAGTCATACTTGCACATCACTTTAAAAGTGATTGTTCATTTGTTAGTTTAATATAAAATCTGAACTCTCTCACAAAAGTTGTTGGCTCCTTAGTCTTAAAGCTGTGTAGCCCCATCTAAAAAATTCTACCATCTTTAAAATTTACGTGCTTTTTAAATTTGAGCATAACTGTGTCTGATCAAAAATACCCACACTCTTGGTCAACCATGTAAAAGGAATTTAAAACTTAAGATAAAGCTAACCTGAAAGGATTATTTCTCTTCTACGAGTGTAAAGCTCTGCCAAAGTAAACTGAATTCCCATCCTACCATTTAGAATATTTTTGAAGAGCTCTTGTGATAAAAAGTTCACTTTTTGGTCTTTGAGTTCAGTCATTTCACTCTAAGCTCAGGCATGTATATGCATTATAGGAGCTATTGCATTTCAAAACCAGCCATGGTTTCCCAGTTGTTCAAAGCATTGAAGTTTTCTATCTATAAGCTTTACGGGATTTCTGATTATCTAAAAAGACATCGGTAAAGAAATAAACTACTTACCCAGGCAGATGGTGGGCTCTACTTCGTAAAGTTCCTATTTCTCTCACTAGTTTTGTTCTGCAGTTGTTCCTTGAATTTCTGGCTTCTAGACGGTTTGTGCTGTAGTTTGATCCCCTTCTGATCAGCTCGTCCGGGAGCCAGGAGTGATGAGGTTGTGTTTGCAGCCCACACGAGGACTAATGCACTAGGTGTGGTCAGGACCAATTATTATATGACATAGCGCCTTTGCGCTCTGTGCAGCACGGAGCATGCCGAAGAGCTCCCCTTCCCCAGAGTGTTGTCAGCAGTATTTTGTGAGTTTAAGCGCCATGGCTTAGTGTTACCAGGTCAAACCCTGCATTTGTTTAAATGTGGGGGGGTTTTCCTCTGACAACGCATTGTATGTTGTTGTATTTTTTATTCTGCGCTTATCTATCTGGGAGGCTGTTTTTCCTCTTGCTCCATTCCCTAAGAGCCCTGTGCTTCTGTTGTGGGCCAGCTGGGGAGGAGGATACTCACCCGCAGCTGGGGATCGTCCCAGAGCAGCAGCTCGTTACAGGATGGAGCTGTGTGGCCTGATTTGGGCTCTTTTATCAAAAGGGGGTGAGCGCTGAAGACAGTGTAATCATTGCACTGTCACTGGTCACTGCTCTAGCTTCACCCTTGCACACCCAAGAAGTCATCCCTACCTTTTAGAGAGCGACAGCTACAACTCCTTTGCAGCAAGGGGTTAGGGGAAGGAGGGAGGTAAGCTACATATTTATTTTTAGCAAAACTGCTTTCTGATAATGTTATATGAAAAGTGAGAGTCTTTTGGGGTGGAGGTGGGGGAATGTTTTCTTTTTTTTCCGCTTGTAAACCAGCCAAATGCAGGCAACAGAGAGAAGGAAGACTATGTACTGCAAATCAAATCTCTTACCTACAAAGATATTATGATGTAGAAAATGGCCCCTTAATTTAATTAGGCTCTCTTGTTATCAAATTATTACCGGCATGGTCAGCAAGGCCTTAGACAGAAGCAGAACATAATCAAGCTGCTCAGGAAGCCTGTTAAGTAGTAATTGCTCCCCCAGAGAATCGATCAACATCAGGATGGCTTTTTTGTTGTTGTTGTTCTTGAATAGTTCCAGGAAGAGGCTTTGTCTACTTTGAATGTCCACAAGACTCTGGTGCTTGGTGGTGGTGCAGGCTACAGTCTGCAAAAAAATAGGCAGCAGTGCTGTTGATAAATTAGAATTTGCCAAGTGTCCAGCATAAACTATTTTCAACATAAGTTTTGCCTCTGGTATTATGAACAAACACATTTGCTGCTCCAAGTGGTTACTCTGGTCTGAGGTTAAGCTGCTCTATTGGCGATTTGCATGGTTTCCTTTATTCACTTGTGGTGCAGCTTTCACATGTCATGACCTTAGGTCACAAACTAGCCTGATCAGTGCTATTCATTTCCTTGTAATTAGTTCAATTTTTAAGATATTAAAAAAAAAAAATAAAATTAAAAAATGTGGATATTGTCATAGTACGAAGACCCTCAAGGCCAAGCCAAGGACACCCTGTAAGGCTTGCACTGTATCACATTTTATTGTTTTTTTCTGCATAGTAACATCTAATTTTTGATCCAAAGCTACTTCAATTTTCTTTTTAAATACTGTGAAATTACCTTCTTTACAGTGGAACTGGGGAAATAATGCAGAGCAAAGCAATCCATGTTCCTTGCATCATTGTCGAAGTTGCAGCATGACCTGGTTGTTGTTTTAAGACTTTAAGACTTAAGTGATCAAAAATGTATTTTTCTTTAGACGTCAAGAAATCCCCTAACTATTTCTGATGTGTTAAGTGGCAGAACAGAATGTAATTAGTGCAGAAGCTTAAAGAAAAAACATCCAGATCTTAGAAAAATAGTTTCAACTTAATTAATTCAGTTATCCTGGGGCAGGGGGAGAAGGACACAGCCACCACAGTGCAGGGGTTTATTTTATTTATTTTATTCCAGAGAGAGAGAGAGAGTGAGCCAACACTTTCAAAAAAAAAACCACAACCAAATACATTTTTATTTTATTCTAATAAGCCAACTGGAGTTAAAGAGACAGAGCAGATCTCTTAAGGGGCTGATTTGGCAAAACTCCATTTTACAAACCAAAACAACAGACAGAAACCCACAGTTCTAACTGTAACAACTTGGAAAAA